CCTATGGAGAAGAATGAGCAAGCAACTCTATGGTTATTCTTCCTATAATCACTTCTTAGTGTGAACTTTCAGTGGAACAAATCGAATCTATTAGCGTAAGCTATCATTGAATAGATGTCCATAATTCCCTATTACGTTAATATGCTACAGTAGGGTGAGCACGTTAGTGGTCGTTTTCTCAAGCTCTTCGAGATATCGCTAGCGTTCGCTGCGGTTAATTGTTATCGCCTTCCTGAAGAAACTCTTTGCTTAGCTTCGCCATTTCTGCATAATGTAGCAGACTGTTTTGCAAATAATATGCACAAGTTTTCTCCCCGCGGCCATGTCCACTGCTGCCCAAGGGAAAAAATGTAGCCAAATAATAGTAGGTATAATTTCTTAACTTTCTCGAAAATAATATACCTTTCCCGAAAAATATTAAATTATGTTTCGAAAACTGACAGGTACCAATGATATTTTTCTAGTCATCTGATTTTTTAAGTAAAACTTCGTGAAGAAATCTGGACTAACAATTTCTAATTATAACTTTGAAATTGCCACTCCACATTCTGCGAGCGTGGCGATTAATGCTCAAACGTTTCTAAGTAAGAAGAGGCCTTTGCTTAGCATTGGGCACTAATAGGCTAATGATGTGTGATGTGATTAAAATTAATTATTATTTATTTATTAAGAATATTTACATATACAACATTACAGCTTACGCCATTACGTTGTATTGTTAATTTTATATAAATACTAGTATCTAGGTACTTAAAAAAGCTAATTAGGATTAAATACAAGAAAAACAATACAAATTTAAAAAACAAAATATTATGTTTAAAGGGGTAACCTACTCGCGTAACTGTTTGGCTACACGACATTCGCCGCGTGTACTCAAGTCTAGTCGTGTTCACACGTCAAAGACGAACAAACACCCTGTCTCTCTTATAAGGATGAGTCTTTTGAGTAACATAAATACCTGCTTGACTAAAGTAGGGCTGTCAGTTTCAAATGTAGTCAACATTAATGTTTCTATTTAAATATCTATGTAAAATTATTTGGAATATGAGTTGGCAGTCCCTAAGAATAGGCGTTTCACTGTAAGGGCTAAGTTGTAGGACTTCGGGAGGACCTGGAGTTTTTTTTCCGTGCAGATGTATTAACCATCAGGGTAGTTTCCGTGCTAAGCTAAAAAGCTAGGCGCCTCTTGTAGATTCATTATTGTCGCTAAAACTCAAGCAAAATTTCACCTGTTTGACTTGCTTTATATTTTAATATTTGTGGAAGGCCAGGTACTTTAAAGGTTGAGAAAACGTGGAAAGTTAATAGTAAAATACATACTAAGTAAGTACTTTATAACTGTCACGGAACAAAACTATAGTTACTGCTTTTCTTTAATTTAAAATCAGTTCGCCAGGATAGCTGGCAAGAATTTAAAAAAGACTTTTCTGGACATGGTACTATACAACCAATAACATATATATGTATAATGCACGCTATTCGAATGCAACTTTAATTATCCTTTCAGAAACAAAAGGTATGATTCCTCATGTTATTTATTATTCTGTGATGCTTCAACATTAAACACAAAATAAAAACCAATCAAGCGAAAACGTAGCTTATTAAACCAATTTTATAGCTGAAATTCCATTCTTCAGACCTTTCAATCTTATAAAGCCCTGTCGTTGTAACAAATTAAAGTAATGCCATTAAATTTGGATATTGTGGAAAATTTTGAATCTTCGAAGATCTTAACAACTGGTATTATTAAGGAGATGAAATGGATTTTGGACACCGTAACACTTTGTTATACCTATTATAAAGTAGATGATTGAAAAGTTTCGCCTTAATTTAAGTAAGGAAATTATAAGGATTTTCATATTAAAATATTTAAATGTACCTATTTAACCAAACAAGCTAACAAAAAATAGTCGAATAAACCTTCATATTTAATCTACCATATCTCTCCTACTTTTTATAACCCAAATTTATTTGATCTCTCTATGTACGGATATGATTCAGAATTCTCGCCCCAGGCTGGTAGAGGTAATATCAATAAGGTTCAAACAGAAAGGATAAATTAAAAATAAAAAGCAAATTACAAAACAACCGACCCTCGTTTATTCTTCCACAAATGTAACAGTAAACATGTATACTAATAAATACTAAAACATTGATTCATTTTAACAGATAACACTACCAAGCAATTTACTTAATACTCAATTAAAATTAGACCTTAACACCATGACTTTTAAACTTTATTTACAAAACCTCGCTACTTACAATAATTAAGAGTAAAATTTTGTACAATTCGCAATTATGAGAATAATAACCCTTATTCTAATCTATAGATTCTTGATTTGTGTTTCCCGATAAACTCATAATTTCAAACATCGACATTTTTGAAAATGATAACATCTACAATATTGGAGTTCTAATAAATGATTCTGCTGCTTACATTGTTTAACTAACAGAAACAGATGATTTTGAAACAAAACCTTATGTCGATATAAACAAAAATTAAAATGAAATGGATAGTAATAACAAAATTTATATGAAACACGTAAAAGTTAAACAGTTACATGGAATGTAAGCAACAGAACCAGGATTACCATAACTTTAAAAATGTGATGTTTGAAACTGGGCTCAACAGTTATCAAAAAACACCAATCAAAGAAGGCTTACTTATTAACAATACATCAGACAGTCCGACTGCCATGAAGATAGAAAATAATTATTATAGGCCATTTGGATACTCGCTTTAAATTACTGACTAGCTTAAAATATTAATACAAGACAACTAATTCTGATTTACAATATATTTACATAATAATCTATTTCCTATGGTAGCGTTAAGTAACACATTGATCACAGTAAGCAAAGCAAATATCTATGCACTTTAATTGGATAAAAATGTAAAAAAACACAAACTTTATTATGTATTAATAATTATTTTACATTGTACGAATTCTTCGTTTCGAAAATCGTTGTCGCGAATTTGACTCTGAAACAAAAGAATGGGAGCATATTAATGCTGGTACTGTTTTCTTTCTCTTTGTGGATTCTACGTATGAATGTAATTTGAATTAACGTGAACACTGAAATTATATAGAACCAAAGCAATGAAAAATCACTCTTAAAATATTCCTTCAAGGCAATAAATCGATGAAAAATTTTTTTACATAGGCATCAATATGTGAAGTGCACTTTGATCCACGCATAAATTATTACATTAGTAGTTCTGAAGTACAACATCGGTCGATCCTACTAAATATTTACGAGCTTCAAAATGTCGATAGTCTTGACGCCACTGACATACATAGTAACGAAAACAGTGCACGCTGTCAGAATATTAACAAGGAAACATACGGAAGCCGGATTAAAGTTGATCAAAAAGTTAAAAATCAATTTGAACTTGTGCTAACTGAATTCCGGCAAACAATACCATAATTTGCTCCAGTTCAGTTCATATGCAAATTCGTAGCGCGTTTCTCATAAATTATTATCATAGATCGTTAGTTTAATTAAAGCGTGCTCTTGTCTTCATTCTACCGCGATATATAGAAATTTCATTAGAAGCATACATTATTTTGAAGATGTGATATTGGTAAAAGCTTGGATAAGTGGTAAAAGATGTTATATAAAACTTTAAAGCAAATTAACTTACAACTTGAGTTAAAAAAGATAATACAAACAAATATTAACAAGGAGAAGAAGTAAACGTAAAGTAAACAGACCTAACAACGGTTAAAAGAAATTTTTAAAAGTTTTTCTACCAAGTTTGGAAAAAGTTAATAATAATTAAGAAACTCAAGATGCTTTAAGAAAAGAAGAAGTTCAATTAAAAACCATATAAAGAAGGGACAGAAAAATCGAGAAGAAAAAAGTAAAAAAAGGAAGACAATAAATTCAGCCATAGCAAATGTCAATAACAATTAATCAATTATAATTAAAGCTATCATTCAAATCCCAAATAGTAGTTGACATTATTCATATCGAGTGACACAATAATTTGTACGGGATCGTATGCTAATCAATTTCTCGATTAATTCCCATGTAAATTGGTATCATGTTTGGCGTTATGTTGTTCATAGTTGACAAATTGAATCGGTTATGTACCCCCTATTATTGGTCATAATTTGATGGGTATTTGTTAGATTTTGTAATCGGAACGATTATTGTATGCAAGTGGAATTTTAAACGAAGCATCCATATGAATGATGGCTATTTTTGTGGGGTTGTGTTAGTAGTGGTTGGGAATTTCTTCAAGAAAATATTCGTTATTGATTTGTTACTTCTATCGAACGAAATTTTAAAAGACTCAAATAATTCATGTAAGTTTTGAGAATTAAGGTGATGTTGCCACCGACTTGATTGAATGATAAAAAGTCCTCAAAAGAATGAAATTGAATTATTCTGCAATTGTTTTGTTTTGGACATCCAACAAAAAGTGAGGAAACTCGTGCGTCTGCACGTAAACAAACTAATAGAAGAAAAAGTGCAATTCAGTTGACGTTGTTTATCAACCGAACAAACTTAGTATTGAACCAACGTAACCCAGAAACATTCCATCCAGCTTTACTAACTTCAAGCAATTTGCTTTCAACGCTTCATTTTTATAACCAAACTTTGTCCCAGATTGAGAGCTAAAACAGTCTCTTTTGTAATTGGTTTTATTGAAAGTTCCTGAGATGTTTGTAGGAAACTTTGTCAATTACGCAAATAAAAGGGGAAGAGGTGAAAATGGAAGTTTGAAAGTTAGGTTAAGTGAAGATTTGACAGCGCGAGCTCCTGTTTAACTTGTTGAATATTGTCATGGAACTCCATTGTCGTATGTGAAGAGTCTTTTCTATTATTAAATATCTTATTGATGTCAACAAAGTTCTTTCGTTTGTCCAGCAATTGAAGTTTGATATGAAATATATATTAATTCCCCATAATTATCATATTATTATTTCTATATTTATTAATTCTAGTAATGATTATTTTTAATGATTAATGATTATTTTTAATACTTACAATTACATAGGTGATTTCGTCTCCCTCGTCTCACTTTGTTGTGATTCTTCGTCTATTAACTGCAAGTTTACATTTTCGCTTTTCGTGTGATACGTAGCTGATAAAACCTTATCTTCTAATATAATATTCTCAACCTCCACGCCATTATCTTTCTTTCCATTGCCTTCCAATATCCGTTGCTTTATCGACGGCCCTCTATTGAATGACGAAGCCAACAAAGTTTCTTGAATAGTATCATTTCCGTTACATATTTTGTCAGCCTTGTGAGTTGGCATGCGACCAGAATGATAACTGTTTCTCACACCACCCGTTGATTCAAAAAACGGAAGCACCTGTTTGAACTCTTTCCTGAAGTTCTCGTTTAACCATGCGTATAAGAAAGGATTGTAACACGTTGACGCCATCGCCATGGAATGAGCGAGAAAGAATGATACAAAGTAATAATTCCACTCTGTCATCTGGGCATAAAAGTCGTTGAAAATATTGATCAAGTTCAGAGGTAGCCAGGATATCCCAAATATAGCCACCATTGATATGAGCATTCTGTTTGTGCGTCTTTTCCTATCTCTGTCCGCTTCTTCTCTTCTGGTATTCTTAGCACCTGGTTTCGACCTCGCTCGGTCATTCAATCTTATACTTACGCATGTATAACATATAGCTATAATTAAAAATGGTATTAGAAACTGTAATACTGTAGTGAAAACTCCAAATATTTTTCTTGATTTATCAGAAGGCCAACTTTCTTCACAGTAGTAGGTTCTATTGTTCGTCGTTTGTATTCCCATGAAGAGGCCGTAGGGGCAAGTTACGACCAGGGAGAATACCCATATGAATATTATAATAAGTATACAGGTGTTCAATTTCATTCTCGGGTGAAAGGGGTATATGATGACAAAAAATCTGTCTATAGCTATCGATGTTAGTGTTAACGTAGATATGTAAACACTTGTACCTTGTGCGTATGGCATTAGATGACAAAGGAGTCTTCCGAAAACCCATCTTCCTAAAAATGTGTACATTGGCGTCAAAGGCACAGCGAATATGCATAGCAGTATGTCGGAGAGCGCTAAATTTGTGATGAAGAGATTTGTAACAGTTTGCATCGCTCTGTTCCGGAAGACGACATAGCAGACGAGAACATTGCCAAAAACTCCCAAAACGAAGATAATTGTGTATAAAATACAAAAGGCAACTTGAACAATTTTAACATCGATGATATCCGTTGTTTTGTTTGCTTTGGGTTCGTCGATCACTTCTACTGATTCCCCAGTAAGTGTCTTGGTGAGGATTAGGACTCCTCCCCCTAAATAGGCGGTGCCGTTGAGAGACATTGCTGCAGGGACATATCGGCTGGTTAACGCAGCCAAGTCGTCATGACCGCTGCTGTTGTAAATGGAGACCATGTTAGCTCCTTACTATTTTCCATTCATGATAATCTGTTCTTCGCCAGTCCATCTGTGAACAATGAAAAAGGAATATCAACAAGAACTCTGCACATATAAATCAAAAATAATTAATTTTGCTCAAAAGGATCTAGAATGTTAATAAGGTTGAAAATATTGTCAAGTAAATTATTACAAAGCCCACGCTTCATTCAAATTTCCAAGCGTGTAAAATATCTTATTTGAACCCTTTGACACCTACACAGAGACTGATATCGCTTAACTGATTAATAAAATTTCGAGCACAATGATTTACTCGGGTGGTTGCTATGGCAACAGAAAAGATGGCTAATAAACCCGAAACATTATTGCGGATGGGTCATTACGTCACTTACTGGCACCATATGTCGTGGTAAGAAAATACAGTTACAGAATTAAATTCAATTTATAAGTTTGGTTAGAAAACCGTTCCTTCATCAATCACTAACATAATATATGGATATTATAATACATGACTGACAATTCTTTTGTGTTATTTTCTGGGAATATTTTTATTTTTAATGTTTTTCTAGAGAACTTAGGTTTAACTTTTTTGGTTTTACGTACAGATTCATGTGCGTACTTGCTGCTTTTACTTTTTTATTTATAACCTTAGAATAGTCTTTAAAATTAGAATTGACAATCTGATTGGTGTATTTGTACTTTTTCAAGAATACATAACAAGATAATATAGTTAAGTTCGTGTATTTTTATCACATTAAATATAATCTAGCGAGTTGTAAATAAAAATGGAAGCAAAATAAGGATTCAAATTTGAAAGTGAACTTTATTATTTGGTTTGTGAGAACATTTTTGATATAGAACTTAAAATAATACTTAAAGCCTAAGATTTATTTCAATCAAGCCGTTTAACATGATCCAGCACTTTTTATTAACTAGGAGGCAAACTAGCAGGCAGATAACCTGATGGTAAGTAATCAGCGCCGCCCATGCAACACCAGATGACCCTGCCAGCTTTTAATGAAGTAGCGGTTTTCTTGAACGTTAAAACATTTGGCTTTTGATCCAGCAAACACAACAAGCTCACAACATACACATAGTGTATTCCATTTTGTTCATTATAAAATGATCATCGTCATGCAATTTTGTAACTTATGAAAATTAAATACCGCCTCTTTCTCCAAATTCATTTATTACGGATATTAGCTTTCTGTATCCACCTAAAGGACCTTCGCTAATCCCACAATAATTATAAATTCTGTAATTGTAGTTTAAGCCACTGGTAATAACTGTTTGTATTTTGAAAGAGATTAGTACAATAATTCTACGGTAGGATTAGAAGCTGGAACTGCCTCCTTGTTTGTACATTAAGTTATTGAGCTAGATACAAATATTTAGTTTGGAATTAAACTTTGTTGTGCGATTGTGAAGCTTATGTAATGAGTAGAAGCGTTGAATTTGGATTATTTTGAAAGGGTCAACTGGTTACTTAGCTTCAGTTTTCACTAGTAATACAATCCTGGAATTGTGACAGTATTCGGACCCAATTATAAGCAACGTGAAATGTGGGTAATAATTTCTTGGTCTTCTGATGTGTTAGCATACATTATATCCAGTTTATTATAATCTAGACGTTGGAGATTCTACTAAAATGACCATCTTCTTAAACATGATAAATATAATTTAAAAAGAAACTTATGCATACGTCAAATTAGACTAAAGGTTATCGATTGAGTTCGAATTGGATACTACTGTAGCGACATCTATCGCAAAACGTGCACCAACAGCACCAATAACGATGAAGATTCTACATCGCGATATACATAAAAGTTCTCGACACAATTAGAACATGTAAAGGGACAAAATCCCGACAACAAGCCGGTTGGTAAAGACTCCGCGAACACCGGACTCCACTATGCGCCGCTTACAGCTTGCTGCTCGCCGGGTTTGTCCAGGCTCGAGCCCGGCTCATGGCGGCACCATCCACATACTACGACCACATCGGGCCCCGCAAGAGGCACGACTACTCCAATGACCTTGCCTGCTGTCGTAGGCAGCGAGCGAAACCGCCGAAACAGCAATTGGCCTGGATCACGCGATGTCACGCTCCCAGTCGGGGACTGTGAGAAGACCACGACGACGACAACAAACGTCGGGCAGTAGCCCATCAGGCACGATCTCCTCGCCTGGTCGGAGGATCCTACTTTTCCGATATTAGGAAACTATATTCTCTCACGTCTAAATTGGTGACCCCGGTGTGATTTGAACACGCAACATCTTACTGTCGGAACTTTACTGTATGTTTCCTAAACTACTATTCATTATAGAAATTTTGAATAAAAAATAATGACATTTCATCAAGTGAAAATGCCGGGGACCACCACGTAAGGTAATTATTATAATGTATTTAGATTATATTTCAACATTAATAGACATACAAATCCGTGTAAACAAAATTTAATTTCAATCGGCTGAATACGTCTGGTTAAAAACTTGATACAAAAGTTCACTACACAGATCTACTATCATACATGTATAATTCCTTAGAAGAAAAATCAATCATAGTTTGGAAAGTGAACAAACAAGTTAAAGGTGTAGATTCTTCAACATCACTTATCGAAATTTAAATTGGAAAGTGTACCTAGCTATATATGAATCCGACACATATACACGTGCAGAATTGAAAATGAGTTCAAAATGTAACTTGATCATCAAAATTAGAAGTTTTCAGTGTTTGTGACGAATCTACATTATGTATAATGTATTAGATATACAATATTAAGCGTATCCAAACTCCGGGATTCACGGGGACACAGCTCTGAAAGTATTTTAATACCTCGAATTTCCTGTTTACAGAAGCAGTCAAAACTTTTTGGAATTCGCAAATCTCTCTCGTTGACACGTTCTGTATCTGTTTACCATAGTATTATATTACTTTTAAATCTGAGAGCGTTTACGCCGCCGTTTCGTATAAACTTACAAGTCAAGTATAACGGAAACTACCGAACCAATCTTAATGAAACTTTTTATCCACACGCAATAATTATATCAAAGTCATTAGAATTAATTAAGAATATTTTCGTAAAATGTCTTTACAAGAACATTATACTGTTTCAAGTGTGGGAGAGCCATGCTTCGGCACAAATAGATCGGCTCGACCGGAGTGATACTACAGCCTCACAGAAAACTGGCGTGAAGCAACGCTTTCGTTGTTTTTCGCCGACTGAGTGAGGTTACCTACGTAGGCCCAATCCTCCCTCCATCCTTATTCCTCAAATCCCCTATCCTTAAATCTCTAATAGTTCACAAGAAGCCGGTAACGCACTTGTAGCAAACTCCTTTGGTATTACGACTGTCCATGGGTAGCGTTGAATGCTTACCATGACATAATCTGTGGGCTCGATAGTCGACCTACAAAATAATAAAACCAGTAAATTCGTAATTAACTCTTTTCACCTTAATAATAAATGATATATGAGAACCAAGTTTTGCTTAAAATATCTGTCCAATTCTTTCTCTGATTTTTGACATTTAAGTCTGTACAAAAACGCTTACCGCATAGACGTTATTGTAACATAACAATGAAATGGAACTGCTACAAAATTAATGAGAAATATTCACAAACCTAATTTTCAAAGAATCTTCAGTAAATTGTTTGTTTATTGTTCGTTCAGAATTAAGATGTTTTAGGAGTGAAATGAAATTTAAAAGGTGTTTCAGTTTTAAGTATTTTAAGTGGGTCAAGTAAAGAGGTGAAGTTCATTTTGGACTTGTTTATTAGCTCTTAGTAGTACCTATGGATTTGATACTCACTTTTCTGGAGTGTATTTTACGAGTCGTGTAGGTATAAGTTACTTATTTTTTCGCTTAACAAAAAGCTTTACCGCCTTTATTTATTTAATGGTTAATTAACCCAGTTCCTTATAGTGTACGTATGTGCTTCCTAATAAACACCAAAAACTTGAAAGTACCAATGTGTGTTTTTCTGAGTTATATGTGCTTCCTAAGTTTGTTTAGACACCACTGATAAATAGTAAAAGTAAGTTTTTCTTTATGTAATTGATCGGCGAACGAGCAGACGGATTACCTGATGGTAAGTAATCAGCGCCGCCTACGGACACTTGTAACGGAGGAGTTACGAGTGCGTTGCCGACCTTTTAGGAATTAGGGATTTGGAGATTTAGGGATTGGGGGAGGGAAAGGATTGGGCCTCCGGTGAGGAAACCTGAATTTATAATTTTAGAAACTAAAAAACCTAACATAACAAGTTTAAAGACATAATATGTACAACGACATAGATTGTAGAACAATTACAAATTATAATAATTTTGATCCAACAGACAAACTACCTATGTATATAGTTTTGTTGGACATTGTGTACGTTATAAAACTTAAAATGTACATAAATAAATAATACTTATTCTTAGGCACAGACAAATCCGCATGAAATCTCAACTTGGACCATCGCGTTACAGAAGGCATTTGAAATCGTAATCTCGACACGAAAACATCTAGAGTCGTTAAAAGTGAATTAATGGCGTCACAAATTAAGGAAGCGTCTCAATCCTTCGAACAATTCAATTGAGTTTGTCCTTTTTGAAGGACATTCTTTACTTTCCTTATTTGGCTTTGAATATTGCAGCTTTTATTCGTGTAAATTAGATAAGGTATTAAATGGAGCGTAAATGTTTGGGTTAGTATGTTGTTGACATCCTTTTTTGTTTGTCATTTTATTGTAAAGCGATCGGCTGCCGCGTAACTGGTATATAAATTGCAAAATCCATTTAGTCCTTGAATTAGATATATGTGGGAGAGTCATGCTTGGGCACGAATGGGTCGGGACGACCGGAGTGATACTGAAACCTCATGAAAAATCGGCTTGAAATAATCACAGCGTTTTGTTTCACCGTGTGCAACCGGAGGTCTCTACCCTCAAATTCCCTATGCTTAAATCCTAGTCGCCCACAAGAGCCTGGCAACGCATTTGAAGTAAGTCCTTTTATATTACGAGTGTCCATTGG